AAGAGTCTACTGCCTTAGGGAGTCACCGAATTCGAAAACATAACGGAGGCGTTTTTGAGGTTACCGTGGAGGTCGTAACACAGGAGTCAGAATGCGCGCACGCAAAACCCTCGAGACATTTTGGATACAAGTCACCGATGCAAAAATGAATCGTAGGGAAGAATGTCTCGCAATCACGCGGGAGCTGCGGCCTTAAATAAGACTGGCCTTCCAGCAGTGACTTTTAATGAAGATTTACCCCAGCTGACACTGGTCGGTTGGTACCATCACTTGCTGTGTGGTTTCAAAGATTCCACGAAGCTACGGTGAGTGCCTCTCCTTCCGATCACTTGCGTGCCCTGGGGGTTCGAACTTCGGTGAGTTGGTGGAGACGTTTGATGGGGTAATCGCAAATTGTTATGATCTTTTCAGGCTCTGAAGAAGGCGATATCGCCGGAACGTCAGCCTAATGAAGCTTGTTTACAAACCTCGTGAGGAGTTCAGAATAAGATTAAACTCGATAATACACTTATGCCGAGGTTCATAGAAAGCCGTACTTGGAAGTTAATTCCATGATTGCATTAAAGGTGGTGATATCAGAGACCTACTGCGTTCTGAAGTAACACATAGAAATAAACTCAAAATGTAGGTTATTATGACGTTACTGATAATACTGAAGCATGTTAGATCAGAGCAGATATGTATACTTCGCCACATTACCGCCGATCGATTGTGATCAATATTGGTTTGTATCTTGATTGCACAACTATTCGTTGCAGAGCTCTATTCTATAATGGGGTAACTCTTCAACTGGTAAAGGTTTTCGATGAACGACGGGACACACTTCACTTCAGAAGCCAGATTTTGACGTACCGTGAGTGTGATACAGTAGCCCCCTCTGGAGCAAGTTCTTTAACAGTTCTTGACTCACTCCAAACAGTATGTACAAGACTTAAATGTCTTTATTTGCATTCCCGAACAATTGCGGAACAGGTAGCACTACCAGAAAATTGTGAACTTTGAGCTTACGCCGTGATATCAATGGTGACGGCAGCATAGCCTTTGTGCACGACTCAACGATGAACGGATTGCATACGTTGTTGGTATAGGGACGAGTGGTCATCACTCTGTGATGCCGCTAACATAGAATGGACTCTACCCGAGTGCCACCATACCATTTGGTTGTTTACTAGGAGCGGGATACTGTGGATCACTGATAATGGTGGGGGTAAGCCATTTTACCTTGAGTTTCTCTCTATCAGCGGCTTTACTTTGCGCTCTTCTGCTGTTGGCTTGCAATATTCACAACAAAAATGTACAGGTTTTATGAAACACGGACTTTCACCTGTGCGCCTGTCGTACCATTTACAATCGAATTCCCCAACGGGCGGTAGTAACGTCCCCGAAATTCCCCGTTGCGGGCCAGTGTGGTCCAGTGGATCATCCTTGCTCCAGAGTCACGAGACATGGCATTTCTTTCGTTCATGGTTTCTGTGGGAAGTCTGACCATCGCGCTGGCGGCCGTCCTGGGTCTGTTCGACATTCCGAGGGATACAGTAAGTAAACGCCTCGGTCCAACGGTAATCACGATCCCGCATATACTCTTCACATAGTACCTTACATAGTCAAGTATTTGACTTTGAAGTCTTCAAGAAGCGGTTAAGTGCACGACTGGTTTCAACGCTGCGAAGCAGGGAAAGAAGCCAAAGAAAAGCTTCGATCTGATCGACGGGTAGTGATAATCTGAAAGTTCCGGATTGTTGCGCCTGACAACAAAATAGTTTTCCCAGAATACCCTGTAGGGAGTTCCAGAAAATGAGAAAAATCTTCTGTAAATTTCTTGACAGACTTTTCCAAACGTCCTAATACCACCCTCCTGACAGCTTTGTGAGTGAAGGGAAGACAGGAGGCGTATACAAAGAAAAATGAAGACTTGTGGCGTCAAGTGGGCTGACAAAGCGATTCTGCATTTCCAGATCTTTAACAAGAGGCAGTCTATGAGTTTTTGGCTTTATGGCGTTGTAACTGATGTCATGGAAAGAAAAGAAGGTTTCGAGCCCGATTCGCAAACTTCTGCATCAAGTTGATCCCCTCTCCCTTCTCGCAGCGTACGCCGTACGAACGGTCCAGGAGGACACCAGTCGGTCGACGCTGGACCCCGATTAGCGCTTATAAAAGTAGTCAATCGCCTCATACCGTGATTGACGTCCACTGAACGAGTTTTACTTCCCTCTTCGGACAAGTGAAGGACTAGCTCAGGAAACTCGTTTCTCTATTCTCTATACTATCAGGATAGTAAGGGTTTGGAACAAGTTTACCGCCACTTGTCTCTTTAATCCCTCAACGTTGACTCCGGCTTCATCGTACCTTATATTTGAACTGACGATTGTTATACTTTGTTGTTCTCCCGGACGACCTCATTCTACTTTCAATGTGAACTCCTATCCGTACTGTATGGGTCTCCTCTGTTTACTTTGATAACTCCAGCGATCAAGTCTTGGAATTTAAGGATCATTAGTGCCTAGAGTATGTGTCTCCTTCCAAAACCGCTCCAAAATTTTCCAGCTCTTTGTTAATACGGAAGGGACCCAAACCTAGCGTCTCCAGCCGTCTAGGCTCTTCGTCAGCCCTTGCCCGCTTATTATCAGTGCTTGTCATCAATCACCTTCGATCTCTTTTCATTATACATACATCACCTACTGGAGAGCTTCTTTTCTAATATGAAAAAAGGGACCGTAGATGTTGTGGACCTAATGAAACTCGCCTTCTGTGGCTCGTTTTTAGCCTCTAACAGTTATTATCATTCCTTAATAATGAACATTTACGATCCATTCTAAATCCACATTCCTTACTATGTGCCGAGGCTTCACCCTTCACACGAAGGAGGTAACGGATCGTACGGCTCAATTGCCATGACCTCCTACACAAATCATCAGTGTTTCCCTGCTGCCACCTGTACTCCTATCTATTTTCAACATTTTAGGTTCAGGAGGAGAGGAGTTACGAATTCAGGGTCGAAACTTTCTATCGAACACGCCCCGTGGGAGGGGTCTGGTCATCCTAACTGCTATGAGTGTTCTGCCCACCGTACTACTACCGAATCTGAAAATTCCAGGTCCACGGTAACAAGAGGTTTTCCTGTCAAACACACACCACACTCATGGCAGGTGGCCGGGCCCGACTCGCCCACAGGGTGCTGGGGTTTACGCAAAATAAATGGTTGAGCGGGAGCTCATAACTGCATTTCCCGTGGACCCAAGCACATTAGTAGCTTAATTAACAGTGGAACCTCGGCATTTCAATAAGTGATGTAGGATTGAGTGGCTCTCGTCTTCTATGGCTTCTTATCAGTCCCTATCACTTGTTATCGTTCCCTGTCACCAATCATTGACGCTCTCTTTGCGTCCTACACCACCTGCCAAAGTGCCATGGCTCTGCCGCTTACATGAAGGGAGTGGCGGATCCTGTCTTTTTTTCAAGGCTCCTTATCAATTTCTACATATTGTTGTCACTTCCTATCACCTGCTATCAGTGTTCCCATCCTGTTGTCTATCTCTCTTTCGAACTTGGATGGTTCGGCTACAATGGGACAGGAGTTGTGAACATCCGGTAGGACAAACACACACACATGCACACATACAAACACACCAACAGACACACTTAGCCTATTATATCAGGTTGGCAGAAAAGTATGTGCACCTTTTGCAATTTTTTTCAGCTTTTTTTTCCTTCACGACCACTAATGATTAACAGATATATGCACCATCACTATCGACAAGTTATGGCTATTTATCAGGCAACTTGTGTAACTTGTTTGCGCAGAATTCCTGGGGTTTTGAGGAGAAGAACCCGCCGATGCACGTCTCGACTTGATTTACATCATCGAACTTCTTATTTCTCAGATGGTTTGACAGCGACAGGAGCAGGTGATAATCCGTTAGAGCCAGGTCTGGTGAGTGCAGTGGGTGGGCACGAACATGCCATCCCGAGATTTGAAGTTTCTTCTGGACCTCCTTCGATATGTGTGGCGAGCACTGTCGTGGAGAAAGTAGACTTTTCTCTTTTCTCTCGTAGATCTGCAGCAATAAGGTTCACAGAGTACACAAGACCTTGGTGCTGAAAGTGGAGTTTGGTGGCAGCAAGCCCCACTGAATGATCCTTCCGAATGGCTTCAAGCACTAAGCATTACCCTCCTATTTTAGAGTTCTGGTTTGGGGGCCGGGATTCCACGCTGTACGCGTCCGAGCCACTGGCGCTTCCTTGTATGGTTTACTTAGGGAACACACTTCTCGTCGCCGATGATTAAGTCTTCCAACCATGAGTAGGGGGGCCAAAATTCAACAAGTTCGGACTTAAATCTCTACTCATTTGGAGGTGGTGACCACCCAGCTTACTACTTATCCATATGTCCATATCTTCATGTACTTCCAAGGCGATTCAAATGGACAGCTACTGTGTCTTGATGGCTATTGAGCTCCTGTTTCAACTCGCGGGTACCACACCTGAAGTCCTCTTCAACCAGTTCCAAGAGGAGGTCGTCATTCAGGTCAACTGGTTTCCCAGATCGAGGTTTTTCAGTCTAGTCAAAGTGGCTATTTTTGAATTTGTGGTGCGAATTCATTGTTGTACTGTGAGGAAGAATGGGGCTCCTAATGCATCCCATATTTCCCCTGTCGCTCGATATGGCATTAAGTTTTTGCTGAACTTATAAAGCAGAAGCGTTTTAAAATGCTTTGAGTTGAGAGCGATTCTTGCGGCCATAACCGTCGCGAAATGCTACGGCAGATACGGCATTGACCTGTCCTTACACATGTTTCACAATGAACGCTGCGAAGCAATCCCCAAAAATTTTTCAATATGAAAACGAAAAGGCGCACATACTTTTCCGCCAACCTGGTATAAGTAGGATAAATAAAAGAGATGAATTGAATTTGCTCGGAGTGTGGTGACTAGTAGGGGTAACAACGGGTGAATGCTGTTCTAAGGATTTGTTCATGCTTTTCTATCTATCTCAAAATGTCAGCATTTTTTTTGCTCTCCGTCTATCTTTCATTTCCATTTATGAACCCTACTTGCTACCATCGGAGCGGGTGTAACTCCGCACACAAATTTAATGAAGGAGGAGACCGCAGTTAGGGAAGGTTGGATCGGTTAGAAACGAAAACGTCAGGATGGCCATTCAGACAGTTCCTGTTGAGATGAAGATGGTACAGCACCGTGTGCGATAGTATAGGCACCTGTTGCGAAGAGAACGAGATGTTATCATTATAGAAACAGGAGAGGAACGGAATTTGATGTTGTAGGGGAACGTCCACGAAAAGCCTGAGTAAAAAAGTGGATGGACGTAATCAAAAAGGACCTCCCTGAAGTCAATGTAGTGGCAAAAGATGCCGTAGAACGAATGATGCGGCAGCGAATAATTGGAATCGGGGACCCTGCTACTGCGGGGGAGGCTGAGGAGAAGAAGGAAAAAAAGGGTGATTGAAATCAAGATCAAAAGTCCGACTTGCTCTCTATAGTCACAACACACATCTAGAGCTTCTTGAAACTCTTGAACTCTCTTCTTGAAGTAAAACAAAGTACACAACAAGCTAGGCGTCAGTTTTATCATTGAATAAACGTGAAGTCTGCATCTAGTGTGAGCTGTAACAATTTCATCGAGTGCTTCTTTATTTGGTTGTTTGTTTCTTCACGTAAAATATGAATATGGCCCCTGCTTTTTTAAAGCCCTGCACCTTTCTCATCCAGATGCCCCATTTTGGATACAAATGCTTCATATGGATCTCTTCCACCAGGGGAAGGATTCGGTGTAGACGACTCTTGTGAGCTTTCTCCTTTACTTTTTGCTTCCTTCTTTTCTTTTTCTTTCTTTTGTCTTTCCAATTCCTCTCCTGCCTGCTTTACACGTTGATCCCACGTCTTTTCAAGCCGTTTCTAAGAAACTACCTTTTTCAACTCAGTGAAAATAAAAAGTAAAGGATAAATAAACTGAACAAATAAACAATAAATATAAACATTCGTCATTACCTTGCGTCGCTTCTGGCGATATTTAATCAAGATCGGGACAAGAGCAATGATGACGATGATAATTAGCACGGCCAAAGCGCCCAGTCCCAATATCAGTAGCAGGCTGAAAACGGTTATACAGCTTGTACACCTTGCAGTTAATCACCATTTTTAGTAATGAGCCTTGGCAAGTAATTATACGACTATTTGACAACCCTATTCCCAATTCTTCACCGGAAACCTGCTGAGATTTTCCGAATTAGGAGTTGCAAACGAAGTTTGGAAGTGGGCCAGAGAGGTCGATTTTGCTGAGTTGCATTCATATTTGATGCTATACTCGTACTCCAACTTGTTGCTATGATCTTGTCCAACGGCCAGAAGTGGCCACTCTCACAGCATTTTTCCCACACTTTTTCCCAACTTTTTCTACTTTACCTTACCCGTGCTTGTTTTTTTTGTTGCGGATAAGTAGAAATCAATCATCTGTAAACGAGAAATGGGGCGACTATTCCTCCGGACAAGGGCCCTTCGCTATGTTAGATAGAATTCAATTTGGAGAGCCTCCCACTTCATTTTTGCTGTAACCTTCTGAACAAAAAGAGCCCTACAGGGTCGAATCACGGGATTTGGGAAGACAATACGCATGTAATGCTTCAGTGTAGTCGACCATTCTTCTCCTGGGAAGCTTTCGAATGTTCTAACGTTATAAAGGTCGACAGCCATGGAGACCTCTAACTGTTTTATCAAACGTATGAAGTTATCACGGTGTGCTATGAGGCCCCATAAAAAGACTTACTTTGTTGAGCCTCTCGAATCATCGTAGGACTCGTCTGATGCCTGCAATAAACTGAGTATCAAGCTAGAAATAAGGGAGAGTGAAAACATTACTTCACGAATGAGCAGGAAATAAGTAAGAGCTCTGGAATGGTCTGAATTTTGGAAAAGTGATTGATATTCTAAAACGCCTGCTGAACGTGCTAGTTCCTATTATGACACTAATACTGAAGAATAAAGATGAGGTTGATGTCTTCAGCGTCGAGGAGACTACCCGCATTTTATTTCCATTCAAAATTTAGTTGGGGTGCGGCCTATACAAGCCGATGCTTTTATAGGTTTGGACGAGTATGGTACTGATAACCCAACCCGGGAAGTACTCTTGATTGGCCTTGGCGAGTATGAATCCGAGATACCATCACCGGACCAAGTGTCTCTGATAATGCAACACTCGCCACTACACCACATTATTCCCACACAGGAGATATCCGTAAGAAATATCTTCCAACCCAACATTGGAAGTTTCATACCCGAATATGCACTTGAGTTCTGACAAACTGCGAAAGGAGTGCGCTACTTGGGAATATAAGAAAGGAGAATTCAAATGGTGGCCCATTCGGTGAAGTTGATCACCGATCTAATGGTTTGGGTTGCTTAGGTGCTTTTAATTTACACTGTACTTTCCAGAAGACCGCAGCGTAAATGTCTCAAGGTGACTTGCCTTCCAGATGAAGGCACTACTGAGGGAAAGTTTAAAAACCCTCATGTTAAGCTTTAGTTCGACAAATTGAAATAGGATTATAAGCAGTCATCGGTCTATTTGTCGCTGCTGTGACCATCAGGCTACTCAGGGACGAATGGAGCTTCTATTCTGTCAAACTACTTGGGGGAGAATGTTTGAGGATATTCTTCCAGCCTTTTAAAGCCATAATAGGGAACTGATTATAGGCCGTCCAAAAAGGTCTGGTTGGAGCGAATCGCATACACTGAACATTACTGGAGTTAATCAAAAACAAAGCTTCAGGACAATGATGCAAATTGCATGCTGTTTTCCTTAAATAGCGTTTGAGTTGCTCATACTACTCTCCTCTGATGGAGGCACTTCGAACTAAGACTTCGAACTCAGACTAATGCCGAAGACATAGCTGACAGCTTTTGTTCAGAGTCGTATGTACTCCTGACCCAGGCACTCGAGCAAACCAATATTGCTCTGTTCATCGAGGAGACTATCTCCAAAGCTACAAAAAAGACAAGCCGACGTTCAAAACGTAGCATGTTCAGCCATGCTGGATCGGACCTTGCTGTAGAAAACCACCTCAGATTCCAGTAATATTGGCGTGATACTCATCATTGTCGATATGGAAAGCTCTCATGGCTTTTGTTTCTGTCATCTTAAGCTTAGCTTGCAGAATTGTGTTCCCACCGTGATTTGCAGGTTGAACTAATTTCAAAACGTACCGCTGAGTGCTGTCCTTTCTGTTCAGCACCTTCTCCTCCTCCGGTCGTGGTTTCCGTTTTACTGAAAACGACGTGACAAGAACTTTGATGTAGCAGGGTGTTAAGCCGAAACTAGAAATCAATGATGAGGTTACCTAGTAGCCAAGAATTTTTCCAACTCATCTTCCGCTTCACGAACTTCTGAAAAGTTCCTCTACTAATTGGTAAGCAAAATATTTCGATAGGAGGTCCTATTCTGGGAATCAGTTTCACCCTTATCTTGGCGCTCAAGGAACGCTTCCGAAATAATTACTACGATTCTCGCGCTTGATGCAGCTGATCTTGGGCTATTCTTTTGTTCCACACGCCAGCCCTCTACGCACGACTACACGGATTCCCTTCTATGCTACTTCATCTATTGATTTATTTCAAAAATTTCAAATCTTCAAAACGCCTGATTGTCAGGATAAGTGTTGTGAAAAAGATGTCAGATGAATAAGGCCGAGGAAACTTCTGAGTTTAGTGATAATGGAATGCATTCCCTGCAGTCCCAGATCCGGTGGGTGATACAATTAACGGAAAGCTCAGTGGGAGGGTCAGGACATCGATCTCTTACAGGAATCAGGCCACGTGCGCCGTGTTCCGGAAGGTCCTGACATGCCCCATTACCATATTTATCCTTTTGTCAGCAAATGATGTAATGATTTATAGAAAAGAGCTTGCTTTCGTATCTTCCCGGAAGGTGCTTTTTACGTCGCCCACTACAGGCAACGAAATAATTATAGCAAAAAGTTCTTCGCCAGGAAGTAGGATTTCCTGGGAGGTATGACCTTTTTTTGTGCAAACTCGGAATTTTTCCGTGCTCTCTTCTCTTCATGGGCCAAGTGGCGCCGTTGAGCTCTCAGTCTCATGACAAAAATGACAAAAAATCTATTCCCGTATCCCTTCCTACACACTCTTCGCGTGAGAGAAAGACGGCTTTCAATGTGCAGAAAGGAGAAAAGGCTTCTAGACACGAATTTGTCCTACTTCAGATTGAGTAGGTCTAATTGTATGTCTTGAGGTACGAACGAGATTTCGCCAAATATGGAACTCAGTGCTCCCCACATAAATTTCACTAGCATAGGACTTTGTCTTCATCTGCCACCAAGACTGCTGTTACGCTCATGTATGGCCCATAAAACTGTTTATAGAGCTGAGCGAACGAGAGGGGCCCAACCGTTCCCGTTTGGTGGAGTATGAGTACGAGCCTTCTTGCAATACTTGTTATTGGTCTTGTTACAATGCTTAGGCTGAAAAGGAACTAGGGGAAAATGCCAAAATGAAGAATTGACCTACTTAGTCTCACAAAACGTCGCACAAATAGTTGTTCCGTAACACCGGCTTTAGACCTATAATCCTGGAAACATACTTTTTTGGAAGTTCAAAGAAAGGTTACTAAGGGTAGTAGCTGAAGTTTTTCAGCTTCAATCAATTCCATCTGACAATGAGAGATGCGCCCAGCATTTGAATTCCGCCTATAATTAAATGTGGTGCTCAGCAGGTGTATGCCTATGCATAAGCTAGTGCCAAGTATTGTTTCAATAGATGGATCAGGCCCCAATTAACCGACCACAAAGGGTTGAGATGTCATGTAGCCCTAGAGTAGAATCGCTCTGAATAACGATTCTACCCAGGCCAACCAGCCCCCATCCCACCCGGGTCAGTTAGTTGGTACCAGATTCGTCAAAGACGAAAGATGCCATGTGTCTCACTAGACCGCCCCTATATTAACGAGGAGTACTCTGATGTAAATGGTTGTGAAAGTAACAGTACCGCGAATGTTTCGTTCTGTGTAGCGCATATAATTGAAGTATTGCAATAACATGTGATTGTTCCTGTTTCTGCAGCTGCTATTGCAACTTAAACAGAGGAAATGAGAAAAACTAACGAATCTTTAAGGAATCATTGGAAAAAAGACACATATGTACAGCCCCACATATTGCGCATATTACATTATCCTGATTCAGGTGAAGGCAACAAAAATTTTA